CCGGTTTGTTGTTTACCAAATGGAAAATTCTTATTTAAATAAAAATGCGTTTTCTTTATCAACTCATGTGTATACATTTTGAGCTCCCTACTTAGCTGGGGCGCTGTGTTGCCACGTGCCATAATTTATTTCTCGTTCTTTATTGTGACTAGGCAAATGGGCGACGTTTGCGTGGCTCACTTCACGAAGATGTCTTACGTTGCATCCGCCACCTGCCCTCGTACATACAACTGGTTCTTGCGCGGCCAATTCCCCTTGTCTCGTCTCTTTCTCAGATTGGGTCGCCGCTAAGCCATGACAACCGATGCTTTCCCAGTAGTATATACAATTATGTAGGCGCGGGTGACACGGAAGAGTATGCTCACGGAGAACCTGTGCATATTGCAGCAAGTGAGGTGGAGTCAGTTGCTACAGATGTCTCAACATTCATCGAAAGAGGCGCCTTAACCGTTGCTTCCGACAATTTTCCCACGCATCAAAATCATCTTGTCGGGTTGCCACAGGACCCTGAGAAGGTGCCAAACTGGATTCGCAACTCACAACTAGAACTAAGTGGAATTGATCAGGTTATCCATTCAATCATTTTATTTTTTTTCTAGAATTTTTAAGCCTCTATTATTTTTAATTCGAATTAAGCCTTGATCTTATTACTTCACTCTTGGATTTGGTTTGAGCTATTTTTCGCAAATTCGTCTTATTTTCAAGACACGAGGCTAATCCAGCTTCCTTGTCTTGCTCAGTGTCTCTTCCTGCACCCCCCTCTCCCTTTCCTTTAGTCTATATAACAGCGACAAAAAGTTCCTACTTAGTTTTCTTCACTCGTTCCTCCTATTCACGATATTGGTTGTTCTGTTAATTGCTTTAGACTCCCTAATCTTATGCTTTGACTTGAAGTCCCCGTAATCCACAAACTGTGTTTTTCACCTATTTATTGAGTGTCCTGTATTGGCAAAATGTGTTAAGCGAGCTCAGATTTTTTGACCCACAGACTTTTACAAGCGGTTTTGTGTTCGCATACTCTCTTGTGAAACCCAATTTTTCTTCACATGTCTAATATGTCCGATGCTTTTTACGTTTAAAACACGAAATATCTGTCTCATTCGTGAAGCTGAATTACTAATTTTATTATTTGCTACACGAAAAAAATGTGGGCTTCGAATATTACACCAATATTATTTGCTATATAACACGCTTTTGATCTATCCATTATACTCGGACCTCTGAGCTACATGCGCACACGACCTAAATCTTTCTCGGTACAAAGAAAGCATTCGTTTCTCTTTATACTATGTTCTGATGTTTCACTTTCTCACTAGTTCACCTACTCTTTTCTAAGGCTAACATGATAACAATATTAGTAACAGAGAACAGTGGTTTATCCACTGTTCACTGTATTCACCCTATTTCGTCTTTTCATGAATGACTGTTTGCTGAATTTCCCCACATTAATATGAATAGACCTCATGTTTCCATTTA